CATACATACATACATACGTGTGTGTTTGTGTGTGTGTGTGTACATTCCAAACAATGGAATGATAAAAGATTAATTACATATGAAATTCAGAAGTCTCTGGGTCATTTGAGTAACTGCCAGAAAATTGACCTGAATGAACTAGATGCTTTTGGGTGAGTTGTGAAATTGGACATTAACTTGGAATGTTTGTCTCCACTCAATTCTAAGCTTCCCTCTCTGCTCCCTTCAGTTTACATGACCCCAAGTGAAATATGTCTGTTTCAAGTGCACACATATGCACACATACACGAAGGTTACGCAGAAACACACAGAGGCAACATATTACTTCATTACACGGAATAAAATAAGATACTTCCCATTATCCGTGTATAGGTAAAGGGCTTTAAAAGAATGCCAGAAGTCCTACTCTACATGTCTTTCCTACTTTTTTAGTCTTAGCTGCATACTTTTGCAGAATTGAATATGCAATGAGAATTGGGGGGTAAAATGGACATCATAAGCGTGCCTAGGCATGCAGTAAGTGACGTTATATCTTGCACAACAGTAGTTGATGTGCATGTGTGTTGTAAAAAATATGTTTTCCAATGAACTTACAGATAAACTATACAAATCCCTCACAATAAATAATGTGGACAAAATACTATAAAGATAGCATATGTTACCTTTTCTTTCTAACTTTTGTTCATTTAGAAATAAACTGTTCCACCCTCACTTCTCTTTCCTGAACCTTTGGCACGAATACATCTCATTATTGTCCTCCTAAAGCTTTCTTTAATTAGTTTTTTAGCAAGGAAAAGCTTGGAAGGGATCTAGCCATTTTTGTTGGAAGCCCAAAAGAAAGGTTTCTAATCAAATAGATAGAATGGATGCCACCCTGTGGCTAACCAAGCAACATACAATGGCTTTTCGCAAAAATAACATTCATTAGTGCATTATTGTTCCTGTTAATATTTGATGCTTGCTCACAAGCAAATCAATATTTTTTATCTCACAAAGGAACATTGTTTGGGGGAAATGGGTAAATATTCCATTGCCCTGAACATTCAGAAAACAGAACATTTGAAAGAGCCAACTTTCCTCTATCTTTTCAGAGTCAATAAGTTGTGGGAAAAAGCAAACAGACTGAGGTTTGAGTACAGCTTCAGAAATAGCAAGAGGCAGATTGCCTGAGTTTTCCTGTGTAAAAGTTCAGAAGCCATATGTCTTCTGGGAAATTCAGTCTATATCTCCAGATTTACCTCGGGCATACATTGTTTTATTATCTTTTTCTCTGCTCCTCCTGGGGAAAAGCAGCATATGAATGTCCAATATCTGTACAGCGTGCTAAACCTTGTCACTGGAATTTACAAACAATCTATAACCATTTTATCAGGAAACATCCCTGGCAACCATCATTCACGAACAATCCTTTTCACAAAAATTGAATATTTCTTTTCTTTAGGTGCCTTCAAATCAGCCTTGATTCCCACTACCTGGAGGAGTTTTCTTGTCAAGATTTCAGAAATGATTTGCCATTGCCGCCCTCCCTGTATGACAGGTCAAGGGTCACTCAGCTGGCTTTGTGACTAAGGCAAGACTAGAACTCACAATCCCCTGCCTTCTAGTCCGATCCCGGTGCCTTAACCACTCCAGCTGGGATGTCTGGGATGAAAGAAGAAAATGGCTATCATTAATGGATGTACTCTTCTCGAACACTTGACAATTTTTTCTTAATGGCTATGACTTAGTTCCCTGGCATATTTCTCCCAAACTCACATCTCTGAAGAATTGCTTGCTGTAGAAAAAAAAAAATATTAAGCACATTTATAGTTAATGCTTAGAGCAGTGGATCTCAATCTTTTCTATAGCACGGAACCTGTTTAAATATCTTTTGTGCCTAAAGATCATGGCCATGGACCCCCAAGGTTTAACTCCAGATTTAAATCATAACATTTCTTCAAGCCTTTGTGGATTCCGTATGACACAGGTTAAGGTTAAGGTTAAGGTTAAGGTTAAGGTTAAGGTTAAGGTTAAGGTTAAGGTTAAGGTTAAGGTTAAGGTTAAGGTTAAGGTTAAGGTTAATTTTATTTATAGGCCGCCCAATCCTAGAGGACTCCGGGCGGCTTACAGAAAGGGGAAAGGAAGAAAGTAAAAAAATAAAAATAAAATAAAACAAGTTAAAAACAACACAGATACATTCATTGCATTCGGGGTTGGACCTAAACAATGGGGTCAACGGCCCCAGGCCTGC